GTACACCTTATCTCTACACCTGGAGAGAGAGACAACCATCACTAACCAGCTGTTAACTATCAATAACCAGCTGAGTACTATCACTAACCAGCTGTTTACTATCAATAACCAGCTATTTACTATCAGTAACCAGCTGTTAACTATCAATAACCAGCTGAGTACTATCACTAACCAGCTGTTTACTATCAATAACCAGCTATTTACTATCAGTAACCAGCTGTTAACTATCAATAACCAGCTGATTACTATCACTAACCAGCTGTTTACTATCAATAACCAGCTGTTTACTATCAGTAACCAGCTGTTTACTACAAATAACCAGCTGATTACTATCACTAACCAGCTGTTTACTATCAGTAACCAGCTGTTTACTATCAATAACCAGCTATTTACTATCACTAACCAGCTGTTTACTATCAATAACCAGCTATTTACTATCACTAACCAGCTGTTAACTATCAATAACCAGCTATTTACTATCAGTAACCAGCTGTTAACTATCACTAACCAGCTGTTTACTATCACTAACCAGCTGTTTACTATCAATAACCAGCTATTTACTATCACTAACCAGCTGTTTACTATCAATAACCAGCTATTTACTATCAGTAACCAGCTGTTAACTATCAATAACCAGCTGATTACTATCAGTAACCAGCTGTTTACTACAAATAACCAGCTGATAACTATCACTAACCAGCTGTTTACTACAAATAACCAGCTGATTACTATCACTAACCAGCTGTTAACTATCAGTAACCACCTGTTAACTATCACTAACCAGCTGTTTACTATCAGTAACCACCTGTTAACTATCACTAACCAGCTGTTAACTATCACTAACCACCTGTGAACTATCACTAACCAGCTGTTTACTACAAATAACCAGCTGATAACTATCAATAACCAGCTGTTTACTATCAATAACCAGCTGTTTACTATCAGTAACCAGCTGTTTACTACAAATAACCAGCTGATAACTATCACTAACCAGCTGTTTACTACAATAACCAGCTATTTACTATCACTAACCAGCTGTTTACTATCAATAACCAGCTATTTACTATCAGTAACCAGCTGTTAACTATCAATAACCAGCTGATTACTATCAGTAACCAGCTGTTTACTATCAATAACCAGCTATTTACTATCACTAACCAGCTGTTTACTATCAATAACCAGCTGTTTACTACAAATAACCAGCTGATTACTATCACTAACCAGCTGTTAACTATCAGTAACCACCTGTTAACTATCACTAACCAGCTGTTTACTATCAGTAACCACCTGTTAACTATCACTAACCAGCTGTTAACTATCACTAACCACCTGTTAACTATCACTAACCAGCTGTTTACTACAAATAACCAGCTGATAACTATCAATAACCAGCTGTTTACTATCAATAACCAGCTGTTTACTATCAGTAACCAGCTGTTTACTATCAGTAACCAGCTGTTTACTATCAATAACCAGCTGTTTACTATCACTAACCAGCTGTTTACTATCACTAACCAGCTGTTTACTATCAGTAACCAGCTGTTAACTATCAATAACCAGCTGATTACTATCACTAACCAGCTGTTTAATATCAATA